CCCTTTGTTTTGGTCATTTTGGTTAATTACTGGAAGATGGCGGTTCTGGCCAAAAGGCAACATCTGGATATTCTGATAGCAAAACTAAACCACCTACAAGGTTTCATCAAGTAAAACTATAAGGCTTTTTTCTTTTTTTGGCTATACTGCTCATGTGCTCACTGGAGAGAGACAGAGAGAGAGAAATCACTCCCTAGGAGGGATGGTCACACCACAATCTCCTCTCCTCCATTCCTCCATTCTCCTCTCAAGATTCTGGCACATATGTATGTGTACCTTGCATGTTTTCAAGCCTCCAGATCCACCCATGTAGATCCAACCACCTTACCCTTCCATGCCACAGACTGGCCCAAATCAGACATATTTTCATTTTAAATGTTTTAAATTGACATTGACTATTATAAAGATGTAAAAAAAGAAGTATATGTGCAGAATAAATAAAAAATTATTCCATAATTACTAAAGACCTACCATGTGGCAGGTACCATGTCAGGTATAGAGAATAAAGAAATCGATCTTTGCAACCTAGTATCTTAGTATGCAAGAGTCATACATATTTATGCAATCAGTACTTCACCGCCTACATATATGTCACACATAAATGTACACACACACACACAGAGATATTATCAGTCAGTAATTCTCTAGAGACCTTCTGCCAGTATGGTCAACTACCGGTATTAGAGGGTATATATATGTAGCCAATATTTTATACTTTTTTCCACATTCATAAAAAAATACAGCTTAATGTATTTATCTTCCTATAGTAGCCCACTATACTATTGCTGTATTTTATCTGTAAATCTCGATAATTTTCCAAAAAGCCAAGAGGAGAAAAGGAGTTATAACCTATCAACAGAGGGGAGGTAAGATAAAAGTCTTTAATAAATATTAGTAAGCCTAAGGTTAAGACGGGAGACCAGCAGTTGGCATAATGGCTATGTCCTAGACTCGCATGTAGTCAACCACGGTTTGAGTTCCAGACCCGGTGGCTTAAACTCACACTGGGAAACGTGTGTGTGTGTGTGCCGAAGATCCCAAGAAGAGAGTGGAGGAGAAGGGATTGTGGCATGACCACCCCTGGGGGGTGATTTCTTGCTTTCTGTCTCTGTCTCTCTCTGTCTTTCTGTTGAGGGCACACCCCTATAACAAAAACCTCTCAAAAAAAAGGGAAAAAAAAGAAAAGACTAAGATGCTAAGTAGTTCAACAGTTTTGGACATAGGGTGTGTGTGCTCACTGGAGAGAGATAGAAAGAGGGAAATTAAGAAATTGCGTCCCCCCCAAGGGGGATGGCCAGGCCATAATCCCTTCTACTCCACTGTCGTCTTGGGACCTTGGGCATGCACACACACACACACCCAGGATGTTTTTCAAGCCACCGGGCCCAGTACTCACACTGTGGTGGGCCATGTGGGAGTCCAGTCCCTTAATCATCACACTATCTGCTGGCCCCTTCATGAGCTTTCTGAAGTCTTTTGGTATATCTAAGTCTCAACCCATAGCAACAGGCTACACAGTATGAATCTAACAAACCTTGAAAACTTTATCACTGGCCTCAAGAGAAATGGGCTTAAAAAAAAAAAAAAAAAAAGCTGGGGACCAGCAGTTGGCGTAATGGCTATGCTGCTGGACTCCCACGTAGTCGACCACGGTTCGAGTCCCGGACCCGGTGGATTAAACTCACGCCGGGCACGTGTGCGTGCTTGCCCAAAATCCCAAGAGGAGAACAGAGAAGGGATTGTGGCGTGGCCATCGCCCCTGGGGGGTGATTTCTCGCTTTCTGTCTCTCTGTCTCTCTCTGTCTGGCGAGCACATGCGCCCTATAGCAAAAAAAAACCTCTCCACAAAAAAAAAAAAAAGCCAATAGTCACCCAAGTGGCTCACCATCAGCCATGGTCAATGCCACTGGGTTCTTCAACATCACTAACAACAGTGAGCCCTTGGGCCACATCTCCTTTGAGCTGTTTGCAGACAACGTTCCCAAAACAGCAGAAAACTTTAATGCTTTGAGCCCTGGAGAGAAAGGATTTGGTTATAAGAATGCCTGCTTTCACAGAATTATTGCAGGGAGCCGGGATGGTGACTTCACACACCATAATGGTACTGGCAAGTCCATCTTTGGTGAGAAACTTGATTATCAGAACTTCATCTTGAAACACACAGGTCCTGGCATCTTGGCCATCACAAATGCTGGGCCCAAAACAAACAGTTCTCAGTTTTTCATCTACACTATCAAGACTGAGTAGTTGAATGGCAAGCACGTAATCTTTGGCAAGATGAAAAAGAGTATGAATACTGTGGACACCATGGAGCACTTGGGTCTGAGAATGGCAAGATCAGCAAGATCACCACTGCTGATTGTGTACAAGTCTAATGAATTTTTTAAAAGATTTATTTTATTTTATTTTTATTTATTTATTTGTTTGTTTATTTTAATTTGACCAGAGAGGGACAGAGAGAGAGAGAGAAAGCCGCCAGGTCAGGGACTTGAACCATGGTTGGTCATGTAGAGAGAGAGAGAGAAAGCCGCCAGGTCCAGGACTTGAACCGTGGTCAGCCATGGGGGAGTCCAGCCCCTTAACCACCACGCCGCCTGCCCTAACTCTAATGAATTTGACTTCCATTTTTCTCTTATCCACGAGATCATTCTTTCTGTAGCTCAGAAGAGCGCCCCTCCACCCCATCTGCTCTCAATGTTCTATAACCCATGCTCTCACTATAGTTCTTTGGGTTCTATATTTTCCTTATTCCCTTCCAAATCTAGCTTAATTGCAAAGTTTATGACTATGAAATAAAAACTAATTAAAAAAAAGCCTTAACATCTTTATATATACTCCAAAAGGTGTGTGTGTATATATATGTATGTGTATA